GAGGATTCGGTGGCGTATAAGCGACATGAGTGAGCGCGGTCGCAGCCAATATCAGAGGAATCTTGAAGCCGCTGGTGGAGTGGACTGGCACAGACGGTGTCCAGATCATGGGGTATGCAGGTTCGTCTGTCCCACGGCTACTGGCGAGGAGGGATGCGTTGGAGAGGAAAGATGGGCAGGTATTATTGCTCTCGGTTTGAACGCTCTTCGTCTAATTGAGACCGCGGAGGCCTATCGAAGGGGGTCATCTGGACACGAACTGATGTCTGAGTACTGGCACCTGTAAAGTACAGATGCCCATCTCCTTAATCCATATCCACCGGTCACTGCAGCCGCCCTGATCTTGAACTCTAAGGACTGCCACAATCACACTTCAATGGCCCTATCCATCAGTTGACACGATTGGAACAGCGAACATCAAAGATCCGATGTTCATGCATAAGACAACATTGGCAGTGTGAGACAAAACTATATAACAGAACATACAGACGATGAGCAATAGAAATAAATAGAGTTCGGCGAGAAAAGTCACGCAAGACACCTAACCACTGCATCAAGGACGATCGACCAGCGCAACATCCGACTTCTCCTGCATCTGTTGCTCATCTAGCTCTCTACGGGCTTGTTTGCCTTGCAGGCCAAGAATGGTGGCTGAGATGGCTAGCGTGAACGCGCCTTGGAAGACGATTGCCCGATGCATGTTGAAAGGAGGTGTAGTGCCCGCGCCGGAACGAAGGGACCCTTCAGCTATAGAAATATCGTCAAATTCCTAACTCTATGGAACAGAGAGAATCACGGGCTTACCGAGCACGAACATGACACAAAAGAGGTTTCCCCTACAGAACATTATCGTAAGGTTTTGAAACGGTGCCACTGTACACGAAACACGCACATAGACCAGAGGATGGCTGCGCTACCATCTGCATTGCGCGTAAGCTCTACAGCAAGCTCCAGGGCCGCCGGGAGGATGGGTAATGACAAACCACCGATGAGCGCCATCAGCGCGTATAAAGCACCGGTGTTATGTGGTTTTACTAAGGCAAATGAGATAAGCGGAGCGCACAAAAATGGGTTTGCTCACCTGCCCATATCAAACTTAACCATAGGACGCCAAGGATGGGGCACAAAATTTTGCACGTTAGCGCAAGGTGATGGGTCAAGACACGGTCAAAAAGTGGGGAGGTGATCGCAGCCATGAGTAGGCCAACAAGGAAAAGGACGGCCCCAAAGAACCCAGCGGTATCGCTTGAGTAGCCGTATGGTTCCTGCCACAGCCACAAACCTTATTTAGCATCAACCTGGATGTATGCACGGGTAACGTACGAAATCTTGCGATGTCAAAATAGAGAAGGCAGTAACACTACGTAGCAGTGTAAGTGTTCCAATCATACCGTAAGGGGGCTGAGCTTACAGTCCAACGAAGACTCCAAAATTGAGGGTGACAATGGCAAAGTCTACCCTTTCTCGAACCGTCATGTAAGTGTGATTTGTGTGTGGTTCTTGTCCTACCAAAGCGCGTAGTAAGGACTTGAAGGAAGGGGTTTTCTGCGCAGCAGCGTAGGCTTTGAATGGACGATCAGTGATTTGAATTCAGCATGAGGCAGATGCATTTACTCGGTGGTGTCGGAGGTGCATTGGTCATGAAAAATGCGGTAGGTGCAACAGCTGTGCAGATAACGCCTAAAACGAGGATCTAAGTGGATAATCGGGTTCAATGTGTATTTTGCAAGGAGATAAACTGGACTTACAGATGCCCTTGGTGTGGACACCAGCGGTGAGATGATCTGGGCTATTCCAGTGCCGAACGGATTGGCTACTCCAAGTATCATGGTCACTGTTGTCCGGCTTTGCAGGCCAAACCACGTTTCCGAGTAGAGAGGGCCGATCACTTGGAAAGCTGGTTGTGCTATACCTGCTAGCAGCTTAAACCCAGGTTATAGAAAGTCCATCATGTCATATAAATGAGACATACCTGGGCTATCATTATCAGGCAGAGACTGGCGTCCTTTGACAAACTTCTCGCTGTTCCTGCGTATCTTATCCATGACGCCGCGACCATAAACAGAGAAGCCATATAACACTGGAATAGATGTTAACCAGACTCACAGAGTGACGTGTGACCATGACATACCGTTACCCGAACACCCCATCTCTTTCCCACCAATGTGAACACCACCGAAGCGGGGAGATACATAAGATTCAGAACGTTACTAAACCAGTTCACTTGAGCGAGAGTGAACCCAAATTCTCTGGCAGCTGTGAATGATCGCCATGGTTTGATGGAGGTGAGCCAGTAGCCTGCGCGACGATCTTTTGAACGTACTGTCTTCTGATATAGACCCGAACCAGACAGCAGGCATACCACCAACGATGTTCAGTAAGACCTAGCATGAGCATGTGCTTTTCTCAACAACTTTTTGATGCGTTCATAAAGCAGGTACGCACCAAAGCTACTAATCCAACGTATCGTCGCCTGTATAACCGATAAGCGACAGGCCCGACCCTTGCGTCCGCAGGCGAGTCGTTAGCTGATCCAAAGGACGCGGGATACACAGCAGACGGAGAAATCATCTTGTCGTCTGCCATGGTTTCGCGCTCATCCCCACTGCTCGCGGACAACTGTGCTCCCTCAACCTCCTCCGTGGCGGCGAGATCCTTCCCATCGATGGTCATTGAGACGGCTGCCAATCTCGAGCTGCGAGAAAGAGCTCTGTGGGAGAGAGAGCAGAGTTAACTAAAGCCCAACGCGGTTACATGACGTTCAGAAGGGGACCATGTGACATACCCAGCTACAAACGCCAGATAAGGATGTGTACGTCCGCATACGCTGATTCACATGTCTTGACGTGTCATGTCGGCACACTAGCTGCACGCCTCTCAGAGACCGGCATACTACGGGGTGCAGGAAATATATATATCTGTGGACCTTGAGCAAGTCGAACGACTGGCAGCTGTATCCGTAGTGATGGCGGCTTGGCGCGGGCACACCCAAGCTTTGCTTTCGGCAGTCGGCACCTGCTAGCGTGTGCCGCCCGCTCCGAACGGCCTGAATGAAACTCAGCACTTTCTATCACCACTCGGAATGCCTCCCCACAACGCAACTCACCTGAGGATTAGGATGGCATTCAAGTGCCAGTCGTTCGAGGTGAAGTGAGCGTCGACAGATTGACCCGTCCTGTTCTGGGCTCCGCCGGAATGTCAATTAATGACACCGCGGCATGTCCGCGTAGGGCGGCTTCACTCAAACATGTCTCATCGGTTTCAGTATATGGTGCATGCCAATTGTATGACTGCGGCCTGGAGGTTGACCAGAAACAACGTTGATATTATACATGATGGATATAGCTTGACAATCTCGAGTATACTATACGAATAATATACAGCACGCATCGGGTACGCAAGTGCGCGAGCTTGAATGGCAAGGGGTTACCGTCGGATATATCGTCCACCAGCCCTGTTCGAATATACTGTGGTTAGAAAAGGCAAATGATCTTCCTTCCTCACATACCGTGCCTCAATCTCTGCATTTCTGATTTTCTGTGCATGCATTTCTCTTGCGCGCTCGTTGATGCGCTCGGTTTGCTGCGTGTCGGGGAAACCGATATCCCAGTAGCCCGGCGGCGTTTTCGGTGCCTCCCAGCGGCGACGATGGCGTGAAATCTTGCGCATATGGCTAGCAGTCGCGGTCTCATTCGCGTCAACTTCGAATTCCATTTCTTCATCCTCTATATATCGGCTGCGTTTCTGCGGAGTAGTTGGGGGCGAACGCCACAGCGGGGGCTGTGCAGCAAGAGGTAGAGGAGCTATGGCATTGTAGTACTGCACGCATGAAGTTTAATATCAGCGAGCATCTTCTTAATCGTCGTGTTACTTACATCGCGACAACATTCACAGTCCTCCGCGTGTAGAGCGCGTCTGGCGTCCTTCTGGCGCACTACTTCCTCGAATTGATATGCGACGCCGTCGTTCAGCACAGGGTTCAGACGATAACGAGAGTTAAGAGATTTGTTTGACCTATCGCTTTGGTGTCAGCAATATTCAACTGGGAACGGTAGTCTGCTCAACTCACGGCGATAACGGTACCATGAGCTTCGATTTCCCTTTGTTGAGGGTCGGTGATATGGGAGTACGAATAGGGCCACCTAGTATCATCAAGTCTTAACACAATCAACCAGCAGAATTGGGGGTACATACGAGGTGAGTTGTTTACACTCACGACTTTTCGTCGCTTCGGTGACAGTGCTGAGGTCTCATATCAGCAATCAGTGCAAAGTATCCATATCGAAGGGTCTTACGAGAGGCATCCTTGTCATCGACCATGCGCTCGCTGCCTTGACGAGGTTCCGTGGCTGGCTGCGGTATGCGGTTCGTATGTGAAGGTGACGGGGATTTGATGGTGGGTGATGAGGGCTTAGCAGGCAATTTGGATGGTCCCGCAACACTTCCTTGCATAGCATCAGCCTCATCCGGTGCCCTTGCTGGACGATGATAGAAATTAGATGGATGGCCAAGACCTACAGACAGTAGTACTCACGGCTCTCAATAATGTGAGATTCATTCTCCTTTCCTCGACTCTTTTCCAACGTTTCCGGAGTTGAGTCATCCTTTGCTTTGCGGGCTGAAGACTTGCCCTTGCCGCCTCCCCGGAGTAGCCATTCTTTGAATCGCCTCCACTTCTGGTAGTCTTCTGCATATCGCCTTTCGATTTCGCGCTTTTCCTCCTCTAATTTGGTGTATCGTCGGCGAAGTTCATTGAGCTCGGTCCTCAGCTTCTCTAACTCGGTGTCCATTTGAACTGCTGTAGAACCGCCGTGGTCGAGCAATGAGAGATGATGAATATCATAGAACGGGCGCCGCGTCGCGCGTTTACTATCAAGCGATCGTGTATCAGTCACGTGATCGTGCACCAACACTGCGGATTGCAAAATCAACTGCATCGTCGTTGCTGCTCAAAAAAAAAGAACTCCCTCCTCCAAAGCAGCAAAACGAATACCAGCCGATGCCCGGAGCGAGGGTCGAACTCGCGATCTTCGGATTACGGGACTGTACAGTCCCTCATATACACTATGAGACCGACGCTCTAAACCAACTGAGCCATCCAGGCGTGGAAAACGGAGCCTTATAGAATGTGTAGGTTAAGAGTAGGGACACCGGCAGACTCACCGATGCATTGGTCCACTGGAATCATAGAATTCCAGTCTCACCATTCATTACGCGCTGTGACTCACCAAGAGCTCTAGGGCAAGCATGCCAACTCATGTCCTCTGAAAACATAACTTACGATAGAGAGGTGCTGTTGGCTTGTGTAGTAGGTCGTTGAGGTATGAGCCTACATTCTACTCCAACTTGTGTTAAGTTGACAACACATAACAGCCCATATAATACGCCATTCTGGATCGACTACAAAGGAGTTCTTGCATTGGCGAAGATACAGCGGGCAAGGCTTGCAGCCCAGCTAACTTTTGGGAGGCGCAACAAATAACCACGTGAATGGCCGTATTTTTGAGAAGAAGTCCGGAGATAGCTGCGCTTTTCTTCCTGCCTCATTCTTGACGAATAGCGATCGTACCTTCCGAGCAGTCGTCAGTGATCAAGCCCGCAGAACAAAACTGCAGGAAACCTCCCTAGTGCAGCCGCAACTGGGTGCGAGTTGCTCCCTCCACGCCCACATCCTCCGGTTCATCTGCTTCAGGTCCTTGCGGTGGTTAGGAGCAAATGAGGCAAGATGAAGGCTCACTTCAAAGGGAGAGACGTCGAATTGCAACCTGTTGTTGACTGCAATCCACCCACCACCCGCCCGCCTCTCCCTGTCATATTCTTCTCTGACGATATCTTGGCGTTCTACGACTGTTGGTATGTCAGCTGTGGCTAAATTGACATAGGACGCACCTCGTGGGAGAAGACGTTGAGGCACAACCAAGAATCGGCTGCACCTCACCCACCACCCACCCGTCTTCCCCGTCTCAAATACTTCATGTATATCTGTATGCAAGCCGAAGGTCATCAGCGTTGTCGGAGGAAGACTCACTTGAGGGGGAGAGACGTTGAACCGCAAGCCGTTACCGGCTGCAATTCACCCACCGACCCACCCGCCTCTCCCTGCCACCCTCCCGGGTGCTGTTGTCTTGGTCTTTGGATCCTTATAGCTTACTAGAATTCACAGGTATCAGCCTAGACTTTAACGACTCGGAGACTCACCTTTGGGTCGCAAGATGGGGAAAGCCAGAGGCCACATCCATCCGCAACCAGTCAGTGGATTGCTATGCACAGAATAATCAGCAATCGTCGGTATAGAGATTACTTACTATTGCTGCAGCACAGCGGTAGACAAATGTCAGCCGCCCCCATCGACGAGGACGGACAAGGACCAGGAATCACCCTGATCCCCACCCGCTCCAAAGATGAACAACGCCCACGGACACCCTCGACCAAGCCCCGCTATACGAAGCCTCGGACGCCTTGCTGATAGCCAAGGACGTAACTGGACCAAGACAACGAGACTCAAAGCCGAGAATGACAATGCAGACGCCATCCACCCCGACGACAGTGGTACGACCCCGCTTCTTGGCGCGCTGCAGTGGTGTGTCTGTATGTTGAATGATCGGCGATGAGGAGGGGAACGTTGGAATGGAGTGACCACGTACCGTTGATCATCGCCGGGGACCAACGATGTCCACGACCACCCCCCACCAAGCGGTCGCACATGAACGCACCCGCCTTGCCTATGGCCAAGGACGGTATTGGAACAAGGCTTCCGACTCGAAGCAGAGAAGGGCACTGTGTGAACACCGCCTACCCCGACAACGACGCGACGTTCCCTGTCCTTGAGGCCATGTTGGTTGGCGTGTCTGTATAACGAATGGTGTTGAGTGAGCGGGGTGGTGCCAAGGAGCGAGGTGAGTATGCGTACCGTTGAAGTTGAGTGACCGTCACTAGAGTCTTGGAAGGCGAGGGTGGGGAAAGTTGGAGGAGGGGAATCGAGGAGAAGGTGGTGGTTGGAGGTAGAGAAGTGAAGGTTGGATTGACGGGACTTGAACCAGCTTTATAGGTCTTCGATGAGGGCGAGCCAAACAAATCCGAATCTGGAAGCAAGAGGCTGAACAGGGCTGACTTGGAACAAACAGTGGTTGGAAAGAAGCCCAGAGCCCGTCCTGATCTGGCGAAGTGGTCAAAGGACGAAGATACCCTCTCCCTTCCGGACTGTGTCCCTCATAGCTGTGCTGGCAGTTTGTTTTATTCCACTTCACCTAGTTGTGGGTGATTCTTAGTGGTGTATCAAGCCCCGACTGGTTGTGCACTGACCACAAGATGCATCTCGAAATGACTGACAATTGGAGGTCCGTTCTCGAGAAGATATTTTCAGACTGTCAGCCGCTCTTTACCAGTGTATATGATCACCCTCGGCTCTCACATCATACATCAGCATTCGTTGCGCAATTCTGAGCCCCGACTTTGAGGCGCGGCCAGTTTTCCTATGTCCATGTGTGTTACTCTTTCCTGAGCCATGTCAGACTGGTAGGAATATGATAACTATCCATCTATGTTTGTTCTGTATAGCATTTATTGTACAGTATCCCTCTATGGTGACGACAACATGGTCATCCACTCAGCACTGCCCTCATATGGGAAGTCGCACCAGTTGGCGCCGTGCAGCATGCTAACTGCCCACCACTCGAGCTATGCAAGCGTATGCACTAAGACAGTGTATTCGCCAATTATCAATAGAGGTACCAGAAATACGTAGTTACGGGTAAACATAGCAAGCGATGCCCTCGTCAGTCCAGCCGCCTTTCATTATGCATACCTCCTTCTCAGGTGCGCTAGTGGTGTAAAAATGGTCGTCGGCGGTGGAGTTGTACAATCGATACAGAGGGACGGTGCCGTTCTGACGAATGGCATAAACATAGCCGGCAATGCCCTCGTCCCGCGCATCAGGTGCTGAAGCAACAGTACGCTCTTTCTCGGAGACTTCGATAGTGTAGAAGTGCTCGTTGCCCCGGCGAATGCGGAAGAATGGGACACTATGCTCGGCAGGAGAAGCGAGGATCTGTGCGGCAGGTAATTCATACGTGTAGCCGTGGTCGGCGGCGTGATCCCTTTCTGCAGCATTGGTAGTGAAGAAATGATCGGCAGCACTGGTGGAGTAGAGTCGATAGAGTGGGACCTTCGCAAGAACTTCAGTAGCCTCAAAGACATGAGCGGGAGATGTCGGCTTGTGTTCGGCTATGGCGCCAGCAACTTCGACGGTCTGTGCTTCAGGTTCGGAATCACAGCGATCGGCATATTGAACATCTTCCGAATGACTTGCCGTTTGTTGTGTCTGAACGAAGTTAAGGCTTGATGTGCTCCGAGTCACGGAGACTCCTGTCACGTTTGGCGTATGAGGAGTACTTGTAACGCGCTAACACATTATTGATGTTAGCATAGACTAAGGTCATAACAGCGCAGACGAACCGAGATGCCCCCTTCGACTATGTCTTCAATATCTGGGAATTCCATGAACGCCGTGGCAACGCTCTGCTCTGTTGATCTGAATACGCTTAGATCAATATTCAGATCGTGAATCACAGTAGCAAATCGGTTAGGATCTCTTTGACCCTACAGATAATGTGAGCTCCCTCATATGGCGTCATAGTTCTGCGGCACTTACCACTTGCATGATAGCTTTGACGGCATTAACGAGGTCGAGCTTTTGCTTCCGGATTTCATCTTGACGAACTATTTGAGACTGCACTTGTACTACCTGGCGACCTTCGATCCACTGGCCAACTCCGCTCTCCAGTGACCCTGTTATCTGTATGCCTCCACGAGCACCAGAAGAGACGGTAGTATCGAATATTTGACCAACCTGAAGAAACAAATTCAAAAAATGCCCCAAGACGGCTTGAAACCAGACACTCACGTTCTGTGTGTTGCTGTTGAAAGTCAACGACCCTCGCATCTCTGCTTCATGGGACTGTCCGTTCTCCGTGTAAGGGTCGCTGTCACGCTGCCCAGTAGAGTTCTCCTCTGCGTACTTGTACCCTAGATGAGAATCCTCCAGCTGAAACTGGACAGTGTGCTTCGCCGATTGGGGTGGACTGCGTTTGTTACGACGTGGGTATATGGAGCGATCAACCGGGTTGTTAGCGGGCTGTAGCAAAGGGCTCAATATAAATCTATGTGAGGGCACAGACAACATACGTACCGCTATAATAGTAGAGAAAGAGCCTCCTTGAAATAGCGATCCATCTGTGCTCAAACGGAAGGGACGCATGCGGGGTTTATAGCCATCGGCCTGGGAGACAACGGAGTTTTCACCACGGTCCGACTAAAAGAGGTTAAGTCGGGATATTGCAGTTAGAGTAAACACACGTACCGTCTTTGAAACTTCAGAAGTCGAACAGGTCTCATCCTCATCATCTTGCGAACAACAGCTGGACTCTGACTTTGAATCCCCCGCATCTGTTTCACACGAGGTTGCCTTTGTGTCATCGATTCTAGCCCCGTCGCATGGAGACTTGACGTGTTCTTCTGTCAAGGTCACAACTTCGGAGACGGTGCAGGGACCGCTATAGGACGTATCGAGTGTCGTTTCTGCACACTCGCCCTTGTCTGCACACTCGCCCTTGTCTGCACACTCGCCCTTGTCTGCACACTCGCCCTTGTCTGTGGACTCTCCAATGTCGGCTTTTGGCCTTTTGATAGTACTCTCAGGTGTGCACGATTGAGTCTGTAAACAAACGTTTAGATTTCTTTTTAGATCATGATGACTTTGCTTACCGTGTAGTCGCATGTTTCACCAAGCTGATGCGCCCCTGGCTGTCCTACATCACGGTCAGAAGCATCTAGTGTAACTTCAAGGGTTTGCTCTGTGAGCTTGCCCACGTCGTCGGAATTTCTTGTTTCAGACGCATTGAACTGTAGCTATGAACCAGGTTGTTAGACAGGCTTTGGGGCTGCGTTGATAGTTCTCACCGAGCCATAGGCCACTTCAGCAGGCTGGATCATGGTATGTTCGTATCCGCGAGATCGAATTGAGCTTGAATCACCAGCGGCTCGGACATCAATATCCTCAAGAACGCCAAGTGCACTGTGAGTATCCTGCAGAAGCGACGCCTGTGT